GCTCAGGTGAATATGAAGTTTTGACAGCTTAAAAAATTTCCGAAAAGTTATCTGTTCACATGCATGACCTTACTGTGCAGTGGAAGCAGACGCTAACTAACCCTGGACCAGACCCGTTATTAATTAGCTTATTAATGGAGTTAGGACGGTTCGAAAAAATGACTGTAACGGATAAGTTTTCGCAATTAGCTCCAATATATAATAAATTAATGAACGCACATCCATCCAATTAAGTCGATTCATTAGAAAAATGCCATGTTAGAAAACGAACAAATGTATCATTATTAAATACTAGAAAAAGCATCTCTATGCTTCAATTTGCAATTCGTCTTAATTTTTTTCCTATGAGAAAATTCAACGTGAAACAGTAGGTAGGTATCCCAATTCCCAAATGCTCTAATTCCAACGAGGATATATATATATATATGCTTTGCTGATCAGAACCAAAACAAAAGGAATAGTAGAACAGTTAATTGCAATGAAGTTTTCCAAATTTAACAGCGTACTGATTCAAAAGCCGGCTAGTGCTCAAGTTAATCAAAATAAATATGGAGTAGGTGTAAATCCTAGTTCTACAATTCCTAATGGCCGGCTGGGTTGCCGTTGCGTTACGGGAGTTACCACATTGTAATTTTTTCCAGGGGACAGAAAGAAAGACAGAAAGAAAGAAAAAGAAGGGTCCCCCACCCCCACGACGTTGATCAAGTTCCTTTAAACCCCTGTAGCCTGCCTATGCAACCCAACAAAATAAACGTTCATTTCTTGACTTTTCTGCAGAATGGAAGGGATTAACGATAAAGAGATAAGATGAAAAGTCATCCGCAGCAGAAGCATCCTCCCCACACCCCGCACCATCCTCAAAGCCACTCAGCTTTCATTTCAGAAGACCAAAGTTCCATAAAAGTTTGCTAGCAAACATGAAAAAAACCAATTCACAAGGTACAAAAACTCACTCACCAGATAATCTTTAACGGAGTCGTAACCAAGAACAATATCTGCCGGCTTTCCTGAACAAGTTGGGGAATAAATGATTAATAAACATGAAAAATGAGCTGGGATTTTCCATAAAAGCATTGTATAGTTTTGAAGGGGCAAACGACAAGTACCATTCTTGTCAGGAAGAACGACGGATATGATCCTCGCACCGAAGTTCGTCACCTTCAAAGAAAAATCTCCTTTCTTGAGCTCGTAGATCTCAAGTCCACCTTCAGAGCCATTCACAACAACCCTAAAAGTTGTTGCGATAATGAGACCTAACAAGAATGAAAGTCTTGACATTAATTTCTATCTGGGAGATTGAGGAATGGCTTGAAGAGGGAGGGGTCGGAGAGGCTGAGGTTTGATGGTTCAGTTTTTTTATAGGAGTTCAATAAAGTGGTGTCTGCATCAAGTAAACCTTAGCTGGAACCAGCACGTGAATTAAGGTGTGTAAATAAGAAGGAACATTATGGGTTTTCTTTTCTTTTATTATTTAAATGATGTGTATGTTTTTTGTTTTGGCATAAAATGGTAGAATTGTCGGCTTCTGAGAGAATAAGGGTTCTATATTATATATATATATATATATATATATATATATATATATATATATTAGTAAGAGGAGTGCTTTGAGGAAAATGAATTGGGAATCTTTTGAGTTCGGACGGTAGTCAAGTTAGTAAGTATAGACCAATTTTACCGACATCGGTATCAATTATTTATATATCCTCTGCCAAGTTAAACACAAGGGCAAACACTTAGACTAGATTCGATCTATACAGATCACGAATTTCAAATTTTGTCACACCTATCTCATCAATCTAAAAATTAAAGATATGGCAAAGTTTGGACCGTATGATGATCTACGAGATTAGGGGCCTGTTTGGAACCTGAGTTTTTTGGGAGTTTGTCTAAAACTTTACTGTAGTGCACTGTAAAAGTTTTTGAAAAAATTTTGTAGAAGTTTTTGTAAGGTGAAATTTTTTTTCCATTTCTTTTTTTCTTTCCTTTTCTCTTTCTCTTTCTTTTTCTTTTCTTTCTTTCCTTTTTCTTTTCTTTCTTCTTCTTCTTCCTTCCCCCTTCCCCTTCCCCTTCCCCGTTACCTCCGCCACCCCTCTCCTCCCTTTCCCCTTCTCCTCCTCTGCCCTGCCACCCCCTTCCTCTTTCCCCCTTCCCCCTCTGCCCTACCTTTCCCCTATGCCCTGCCACCCCCCTCCCCCCGCCTTCTCCCTCAGCCCCCTCACCCCTGCAAAAGCTCCCCCTCCCTCTCCCTTTGCCCGCCACCCCTCTGCCCGCAACCCCCCTCCCCCACCCTTGCGCTGTGGTGGAGGGAGCTAAGAGGAACGGCGGCGAGGTGGGAGTTGCGAAGAGGAGAGAGAACGCGTGAGGGCTTTGGATTGCGGCCAAGGAGGAACGGCGGCGCACGGTGGAGCCAGGGGGCGTGGCGCGAGCGAGAGGCAGCGGTTGGGCTGGAGTCGCGCGAGGTGGTGGTGGCTTCGTCGGCGTTGCGAGGGAGAGAGAAGGGTTGTGGTGTCGCTGGAGTCGCGTGGCCGTGGGCAGCGGTGTCCCGCCACGGAGATCGAGAAATGCGCGAGAGGAGAGAGACGTGCGGCAAGGTGGCGACATGCGCTGGTGATGAGGGGAGGAGATGGCGGCAGACAAAGGGGGAAGGTGGCAGGGAAAGGCAGAGGGAAAGAGGTTTGGAAACCAACATATCGGTCAAAAGGGGAGGGGAGGGAGAGAGAAAAAAAAAGAGGAAGGCTGGCAAAAGTTGGCCGGAATAGTTACTGGCTCCGGAAGCGGTGGTGGAGGTGGTGGCCGGTTGGGTGGGGAGGAAAAAGAAGAAAAAAAGTTGAAGGGAAAGTTTTTTGTGTATTATTTTGAAATGTGTAGGTAAAAAACTTTGATACATTTTTTGGGGTTCCTGTAGCAAAAGTTGTTAAAAAACTAGTTGCTAAAAAACTAGGCCAAAAACTTCACTTCCAAACAAGCTGATCTATCAAGTTTTTGCCAAACACAAGTAGCTAATTATTTTACTTATTTACATTTGCTAAATTCACCATAAACACGGTCCACGATGTTATAATAATGATTCTTGATCGGCCCCCTTTGTGTGTTTCATTAGATGTCAAAAGGAAAAGAAAAAAAAAAGGCAAAAAAGACCATGTAATTAAGACACTTGGCCTCTGAAATTGAATCCATGAACATTTTTTATGATGACCCAGTGACAATTAAAAATATGGCCTACCCCCTTCAAGAAATTGAAATTTACACAGCTCTTGTTTAATAATGCTAAAGTTTCCCAAAGCCAGAGTAAGAAAAAGGAGCCACCAACCTGGGGCATAGCTTTTGTTACCCAGGACTGAGGAAACCCCAACATTGAGTTCTCTTCAACTAAAGAAAGATTTCTGGAGGGTGGCCAACTACTCTCACAAGAACCTTCCTCACGCCAGAGGAGAAAAAACGAATAAACAAATCCCAATTCAACGATGGGCTTGGGGACCAGGGGCTGTGAAGTGGGTTCCTGCAAAAGTCATTGACACATCTTCAGGCCTGGGCTCCGAACATTGGTGGCAATCTTTTCATTACAAGGATTATTGCAATCTTCTTTTTTGATCTAACTGCAACAATCTACCCTACTCCTACTCCTACAATGCGGAGGAGAAGGAGCCCGATCAGACTTGTTGGGTTGAGGTATAAACCTCCAAATCAAACAAGTGCCCTACTTCTGAATATTTTAAAGAAAAGGAAGCATGACGACTTATAAGGAGGTTGGGGTATGAATCTCCAGATCAAACAAATGCCCTACTTCTGATTTTTTTAAGAAATGAAGCATAACGATTTCTCGTAATACATTAGGTCGACAGGTTTATACTTCAACCTCATCGACCTAATGCATGAGAAAGTTCTAAGAGACTCTCCCTAACCATTGAACCAGAGTATACAAAATTTCCAACAAAATGTCGTGATAAAGCTGTTTTCTACCTTTTTTTTTTTTTTTCTGTTGGACAAAGATCTACAATATGTGTGGGACCGTTCACATTATGTTCAGCAATTGAAATTTCTCGTCGCTCTTCTGGCAATCAATGTGTGATTCACTAATTTATTTGATTGTTTTATATATATTTTTTTAGATCAAACCAAATTATTGTATGCAGGACATCCATAAGGAAAGGATTATTTAAAGTTTAGCATTACTTTATGCGGAATTATATGAGGTGCGCCGACTTCCCATGCGGCCGTTGATGAAGTACTGGGTGCCGTCTCTTCCTCGAATTTCTTGAATTATCACCATCTAATAATGTCATAGACGTCATATGAATTATGGTAGATGAAATTGTCTTGAAAATGAAACTGGGAGATTAACTTTGTGGTTCATGTTAGTGAAGCAAGTTGTAGGAATGGCTTAAATTTTGCCAAAGTTGGATAGTAACGTGCACGATCGTAGCCGCAGCCAAAATTAAAGTCAATATAGACTTCAAGTTTAGATTAAATACTAGTTGCTTGGTCAATTAGAAAATCAGGTATCAAAGTCAAGACCTCCAAACCGTTTTGTACCATTGTGATTAGTATACAAAGCTCCATAATACTAGTTGCTATGGTGATTTTTGTCTTTGTCAGTGCATTTTGTGTCGAGCCTTAAACCAGTATTAAACCATTTTTGTTTGTACGGACGAATGAAGGACTCGCTCGAGTCACTATAGTTTATTCTCACTTTTTTACAGGAGAACATGCCAAAAATAGAAATAGATACCTCTTAATAGGTATTATTTACTAGTGTCTCTTTATCCACTTTTTTTTGTACTTTCTCACTTTTTTACTACCTTTTTTTGGAAGACTTTCACCTTGTCTCTAACACTGTACTATAATTAGCACAAATTGAATATCAATTCAAAAGTCAGAGATCCAAGTTATAAGTACCGCCTTCTTGAAGCTGGACTTGCGATGCAATCTCAACTTGGTTGGGAGAACACACTGATATAGAAGTAGAACTGCTACTCTGTACACCATCTACATATCCCATGGCACCTGCAGCACGCCACCAATTCCGGGCTTCTCAGTTTTTTGCCATCCTAGCTTTCTTATCATGCATTTTGATTCAAATTATCGGCACCGCGGCCAGTGCTGCTGGTCCATACGTACGTTTTGGTTCGCCACGGGGGGATTGGCTAAACCACGGGGGAGACATATACAACCGCAGATATGCCTCCGGGGAAACCAAAATTAGCCCTGCAACCGCATCTAGACTGGGGCTAAAATGGAAGTTCAATGCAGGGGGGCTGGTAACCGGAACCCCAGCTGTATATGACGGGGTTGTATATTTCACGAGTTGGAATGGGTACGTGCACGCGGTTAAAGCCTGTGATGGGTCTCTGGTGTGGAAACAGAATCTGAAACGACTCACCGGTATCAGTGGGGGCCAACTCCTGGGCTTCAACTCAACCATAGCCAGATCAACTCCCACCGTCGTGGCCGGTGATCTGGATATGCTGATTCTAGGAATCACGGGGCCTGCTTACGTCATTGCCATTAAAGGGAGCTCTGGCAGGCTGATATGGTCAACTCAACTGGATACCCATCCCTACGCTATCATCACAATGTCCGGAACCTATTACCATGGGTACGCACGCCACGTCCTGCGTTCTGCCCTTCTCTTCCAGTACATCATTTAATCATTACACGCTGCTACTCTTGTTCAAGTCATTCTCTCTCTCCCTCCTTTAGTTTTGTCCCAACATCTTTGCTTAGATTAACCGTTTGAATGCATTGTTCAAATCAAATTCTTGCAGTGTTAGCTACTATTTCACTTCAAGATTACTCATTGGCTATAGTTTTTTTTTTTTTGAGTAAATGTGAAACTTTAACTGATAAAACCAAGAAATTTACACTTCAGGGTACGTATGCCCTCGCTACGTGAAAACAAAACTCTTAAACTACACGTTAAATACAAACGAACAACCAAGTTGATCAGTATCTCTGAGCAGAACTGATTCAGAGACATGCCCCACTCCATTGCGAGATCGCAACTCATTGGCCATAGTTAGTCTATCTTTCATGAATAATGTGAAATTGTTTGTTCGTTTATTTGCTTTGGGTAGGGGAGTCAATTTCAAACTCATGCACGGGCAAAAAGTTCATGTTTGTCCTCTACCTGGATTCTGGACAAAGGGCCCGGAGGCAAAAATAGAATTTTGATTAGTAGTTTGCGATGCTTGGGGTTGGGGTAATATATAATTTCTATGATGGATAAAAATGAAATTGTGTCTAGTGAAATATGGCTGTCTATTCTGCGAAAAAGTCTTGTTGTGTAAATTCGAGGGTGATGCGACCATTCAAATATAAAGATTTTCTAGTTGCTTAAAGCTATGTGTCGAAATTTCCTCATTAAAGCCGCTAAGAAGTTTAGATAAGACTAACCTTTCATCAAAAAGTTTTCTTGAGTGGTTGTAGTATTTAGAACTGGTCTTCTTAGACTATATCCAGGTTAATGTAAATATGCATGGCTTTAGAATTCAGACTTCTATACTCGAAGCACTTAACGGGAATAAAATTGGACGTTTATAGAATAGCCCTTGAATAGGTATCCACCTAAATCATCTACCTTGCATTTCTATAAAACTGGAGAGACATTTGATCCGAATGCGCAAAAATGTATTGCGGAAGGAGAGACTTGCGTGACTGTTGTTTAGGATGGAAAAGTTCATTATCAAAAAAAAAAAGAAAAAAGAAAAAAAGAATACACTAATAAGAAAAGATTAATAAAAAAAATGAAAAAATTATAATAAATAAGGAAAGTTTTTTTTTTTAAATTTCATTCCTAGTCTTGCACAAAGCCACATTCACAAATCATGATTATCAACTCCCTAAGCTGGTTTATCCTAATTGATTAGAGTCGAGTATTTGGTTTGACTTTTTCATGACTGCAATTGAATTGATAATAAATTCAGTAGTCAGTAGCCTTGTGGAAGACTGAAAAATTTTACTATCCTTGTCTGTTGGCTTGGCAGAGGTTTTTACGTAGGCGTGTCTTCATTAGAAGAAAACGCTGCGATTGAGGAATGCTGCACATTTCGCGGTAGCTTCGTCAAGTTAGACGCTCGAACCGGCAGGATCTTGTGGAAGACTTTCACCTTGCCGGACAACCATGGGCAACGGGGAGATTACGCAGGAGGAGCCATATGGGGGAGCAGCGCATCAATCGATGCTTCAAGAAATCACGTATACATTGCCACTGGAAATCTGTACTCGGCTCCTCAACGCATCCAAGACTGTCAAGAAAGACTAAACAATCAGACTACACCAACAAATCCAGACGAGTGTATTGAGCCCGATAACCATTCGGATTCCATAATGGCACTGGACATGGACAATGGGAAAATCAGGTGGTACAGGCAGCTCGGAGGCTACGATGTCTGGTTCTTTGCTTGCAATAATTTGTCAACCCCTAATTGCCCAAGTGGGCCAAACCCGGATGCTGATTTTGGGGAGGAACCAATGATGCTAAGCATCGAACTTAATGCTACTAAACGAGACGTTGTCGCGGCTGTCCAGAAAAGTGGATTTGCATGGGCTTTGGATCGCGATGATGGGAACATTATTTGGTTTACCGTAGGTTCATCTCGCTGTACACGTCGTCGTCATTGCATTTGGATATTATCTGAATATTAGTGTTGATTTTGGTAAGAATGCCAGTTTCAATTAATTAATTAATTTGCCAATGGATGATGCAGGAAGCTGGTCCCGGAGGTCTTGGCGGGGGAGGTACTTGGGGTGCGGCAACAGATACAAGGAAGATATACACAAACATTGCCAACAGCAACCGAATGAACTTTACTCTTCTGCCATCAAAGAAAGTCACAAATGGTGGAGGCTGGGTGGCGATGGACGCTCCAACCGGTAAAATTTTGTGGTCGACCGCTGATCCCAAGAATGCCACGGTTAATCCCGTCACTATAGCCAACGGTGTCCTTTTTGGGGGCTCAACATATTCAACGGGACCCGTGTATGCCATCAACGCTGAAACTGGGAAGATATTATGGTCCTATGAGACTGGAGCCTCCGTCTATGGTGGCATGTCAGTAAGCAATGGATGCATGTATGTGGGGCATGGGTACAGAGCTCCAGCCTTTACCGCCGGAACCCATCTCTTCGCTTTCTGCATATAATGAAGTTCTTTCCTCTACGTTGTTTCGTGTCTCAGCCAACAGCCAAGACATATCCTCCGCGGCATTCTTGGCGTTGCACACGTCAACTCTTGAGCTGATCATGTCGTGGAAGGAAAGGCGGCCTGTGAAGAACAAGAAAGAAATGATTATGCAATACATTATACCAGTTACGTTTCGTCAATATAATAATAAACCAGGAGAAATTTGTATCATCATCATTAAATAAACCAGGATGTTATTATTACCAATGATACAACCGTCAATATGAAATTAGCATGAACCCTAACAAACCAAAAACAGAACGTTGACAGACTATTTACGAGTTTTTGTAGGAATCCCGATTAACCAACTACATCTTCCTATTTCATTTTTCCGTCCATTTGCCAGTTCGAAATGAAAATATTTGGTGCCGTTGGAAGAAGACGGTTCGGTTTTCTCAGAAAATAAACCACATTAGCTTGACTTGCCGTTTCGTTTGTGTGGTGTAAAGGAGCGTATATTTTTCTTTTTTCAGGGAAAATGTTAACATTTTCTAAGAAAATAGCGGTTAATTTCCGCCAGAAACCCTTGATCGCCAGAACACACTCGCCTTTGTTAGGCGGTCTCATCTAAGAGAAGTCAATTCAATAATCTATGGCTGTAGTAAAACTGGAGATTTATTCTCACCCCGGAGAAACTTCTTGCCCTTGCTTTCTGCGACACTAGAACCCAACATAGATCTGCTGCTACTTGGAGGAAAAGAATACTGACGAGAAAACAAAAAAAAAAAGAAAAGAAAAAAAACTTTTTACAAAGGCACGTACATCATCATACAAAATTGACAATAAAACACAAGAATAATCAATAGAACACAGGCAATACGAGATCAGCGACAGACTCTGAGTTTACAACTATACATTCCTTTGCAACACCAGCACTACAGCAGAAAACATGAGAAAACATGCAATATAATCAAACAAATGCTACTGGTCAAGTCCCTGTTCATGTTTACATAGAAGTCGCACACAGCATCACACAGGACAGCCGGTCCTCTACAATTGCCAAACCAGCAGATTGCAAGACTTTATCTCCGCCATCCCGGCTGAAGCACCCTCTCTGAATTTGCAGGCGGAAAAACCAGTGTCATTAAAAAAGTTTAAAAAACTAAAGTGGAACAACCTCAGACAAACAGGAACACAGGTATGCAAGTCAAACAAGCACTTAATAGCAGAAAATGATTTCAGAAACCCATTCTGTAGAAAATGTGTGAAAACGAAAGTGCATGCTGCAATGCTCTCCCATTTATGATCCTTTCAGTTACCATTGGCCAAAGAATTTTAACTTGCAATATGTCAACTCAACCAAGTGGAAAGTAGAGATCCTTTGTACAGTTATACTAGGAGACAATCAAATCCCATTAATTGATGCAGACAATCCAGTGCATAACATCCAAAGCTTTACACTTAGCCATGGTAAGACTATTGCACGCTATATCTAAATAATCTTACCATCTCTAGAAGCTGACAGTGATTTGTTAGTTTTGCTCCCTCCTCTGCCATTTGCTTGTGCTGGCTTTTGCACCCGAGGTGACAATGAGCTCAATTTACCATTGGTTGAGGAAGGGAGAGAATGACGCCGGACAAAACCATTTTCAACTGCATCTTCATTCAACTTAGCTGATCCTTGTGCTCTAAGTTTTGCTTTTGCAGATTCAGTTGCTAACATATAGCTTGGCAAGCTTGGTGCATTCTGCGACACATTCTCAGGATATTCATGCTTTGTAGGGAATGATCTCCTTCTCCTGTTTTTTTGGTTTTCCTTGCCAGATTGATCTTCCTTCGCACTTAGTTCCTCATCAGCCGTTGCATTGATTTCAACTTTCATATCATCTTGAGGGGATTGTTGCTCAACACCAGGACAAGCAACATGGGGCAGCTCAACAGGTTCATCCACCATCAAGAGCTCTGAAGATGCTTCTGTTTTGTCCACTTTGTCAACTACAACAGCTGGTTCGCTTGGTTTCTCAGAAAGATCAGCAATCACTGGTTCAGTAACATCAGAAACTGGAAGACTTGGTGTTTTTCTTACAATTTGCTGAGGCTTCTCAGTTTCTGCTTCTGAATTTTCAGAAACTACTGTTGTTGTCGCAGAAACTTTTCTCAAACTACGTTTCACCCTTTCCAGTTCATTTTGGGGCTGTTCTTGAACAGATTCCACTTGATGACTGCTAGGTTTCCTTGGATTGCGTCTAGGTTTTTCAACTTCCAAGGAACTTGGCATATTATTGTCACCATTGCCTGCCGTAGCTACCTTCCTGAAAGTTCTCCTTGATTTTCCTGGCTCTGCTTCAAAACCCTGTCTGCTTCCCTGCTTTCCTTGAGGCTTCGCATCAAGAATCTTTTTTGGTCGTGGAAGTGGTTCCCAGAAGCTAAGCAGTGACCATCTTTCAAGCCAATTCCAAGCTGCATTTGGCTCATCCAGGTCGTACTGAAGGCTTAGTGGCATGGCAGTTGGCAATGAGGCAAGAAGCTACACAGAAAATAAAACCATCACAAATGAGATTTATAATTAGAAGCAGAACCAATTTATTCTTCTCCATCTTGAAGCAAAGAGTTATAGGAGCTGCAGGGAAAGAAGTTTTGATGATTTGGAGAGTTATGCAGATAGTATCAGAAAATAGGGCCATAAAGGATTTGCAGACCCGCTTACTTTGCCTTGCCTCAAGAAGGCCTGTACATCAAAGTAGCAAACAACACACCATACAGTTCAAACAGAATATGCCGATTCAAACTAAAACCAATATACTATGGAGGACCAGGTATAGCAGTTGCATGTCATAGCAACTAGATTGGTTCTCGTACAAGTTAGCAACCGCTTAATTATGGAGAAGAAGCATACACTAAATCCCTGTTGAGTACATTCTTTTGAGGGGAAAAAAGAAGAAGAAGAAGAAGAAGAGAGAATCACTAAGTAAATAGGGAAATATATCTGGACCCAGAAGATGGCAAAAAGGTTTTAGAACCTTTCATGAATTGTACACTTTCCATGTATAATACTGGAGGTGATAATTTGACATGAAACATCAAACGTGCTGAAATTTAGCAAGGTAACAGGGAAAAAGATATTATGAACCTTGTTCACGAATGCATTTGTTGCCAGCTTTTCTGACCTGGAAGCTCTATCAACTCCAAGTAAATCCACCCGTCTAGAACCCTGGTGTAGCATGAAAAATTTAAGACAGGGGATACCAAAGACTGCCAAACCTTACATGCTTTTAATCCAACTAGTAACTAAACCACGAAAAAATGAGGAAAAGGAAGAAGATTAGTAACTACTAAGGATGTTGGTCAACATATTTACGTTAATTTGATTGAGGATATACACCTCAAGAAAATACAAGGGCCAAATCATGCATGACAACTATAGAATTGTTCATGTAATCGATGGTGCCTCAGAAACAAAAGATGTGTAAGAGCGTCCTGTAACAACTGAAGGCAGAGATAATAACTAGTGATGGAAAATAAGAGTCCAAGATGTAGAACCAACAACACTCATTAAACAACGTGAACTTTAACCCAAAGAAAAGGATAAAAAATATCCTGTCTATATACAATTGATTTTACTTACAACCAAAATACAAGAAACTTATAAGTTATAGGTTCACCCCCATATGTATCTGAGCAACATTATTGTTTCTAGAAAACGAAGATGATCTACCTTACTAAGCATGGTCAACCCTCTTCCCAATATCAGGAGGCAGAGGGGCACGAACTAAAGCAGCTGAAACTATGAAAGATGAACAGCTAAGCGGAACACTATATGAAGAGTTACCAGAATTTCATGCAGCCTGCACTTTTTCAGCTGCTGAAGCTCAGGATTTGAAAGCCTGACCCTTCGTCCACGAGCCAGAGCCTGTATCTTTACAATTGACTGCATACAACACAAAGTAGCCACAGACTGCCGTCTAACCAAATGCCCACGAATAAGCGCTTGTAGCCTTATAATGCCCTTCAGAGCCCGAAAAGCGCGACGAGCCTTCAAGTATAGTTAATGCGTGCAGGGAAAATCAATTGATTAACATATAAAAGCCAAAATCTCAAAGTAAATGTTAAGATCTCAATCAACAAATTGCTAATAAAACTAAGTACTTGATCATAAAAAAAGAGCATAACATGATTGCCATCCAAAACATTGACTAAGGGGGAATTCCTCAAGAGCCTACAGTAAATTTACATCTCTAGTAAGAGACATTAACCATCCAATGCATTGGACAGCAGTGAACTCCATAATCAAATTTAATGCGGTAATAGTTAAAAGGGAAATGCAATCATGGACAACATACACTAAGAAGTAGAATATGGTGAAACCTTTTTATCGTACAGGTGCTGAAGAAAATATCTTGACAAGCTCGTAGTTCACAATAGAAAGAGAAATTCAAAGCATTCTTACTACTGAACAATAAAAGGCCGAGAATCACTTCTGACATGTTGACTTGACCACAATATGACAACATGAGAAGCAATGAAAAATTACCAAGTAACCCCTAAAAGCAGCTTGTGCTTTTGTGGCAGCTTGCTCTTGCCTCTCTCTCTCTACATTATCAGCTGGATCCAAACCTGTGGAATCAAGGAGATCCACACCAAGCTGTGGAGGGAATGAAGAAGCTACTTGACCTTGTAAACCACCTGGAACACCCTTTTCAGGATCCCTCCTGTCACCAACTCCATCAGTGCTTTGATATGATGTATCTGATATGACTGGAGGGCTTACATCCAGATTCGCTTCTGGTAGATCAGGAGCAGCCTTTTTCTGAATTTTGGCACCCTTCAGAGAGGATCACATTTGGATACCAACATTACTTCAGGCCACATATACTCCTATGAAATCTCAATTGCAGGGGTAATATAATTGCAGTAATGAAAGCAATTATTGACAGTTGAAGAAGCTTATACACAGAAAACTCCCAAGTTTCAGTGAGAGATATCATTCGTACAGTAAACGGGACATCCCAGAAACCAGAAAAAGGGGCAGGGTTTAAATGAACACAAATATTAAGGTAAAATCCATGGTATAAGTAGAAAAGTATCTTCCAGAATTAGAGTAATAGATTTCAAAATGCAATGACCATGGGGAACATAGGCTTTCAGGATAGTACGAAAGACAGTACATCCAAAAGGGAAGCAGCAGAGCTTCAGGTTACAGATAATACATTAATGTTATAGGCAGTAGAACCAAACAAATTAACTTCACAGAAGCTCAAGAGAAGCAATCATACCTTTGATAGATTGGACTTGGAAG